CGTTGCCAGTAGTCATGTCTCAGTAGGGCTACAATTGCCATCTAGCGGTTGGGAATTGCAATTGCATTTTTATTTATAAAATGAAAGATAATGTCATATAATCACATCATATAATGTGTATGAATGTAGCATTTAACAGCTTGTGGGATGCATGACATCATATTATCAAATGCAAGTAAACTTTTGAAACATTTAAATTAGCATTATTGCTATATTTAATAATGTTGTAAAATAATTAAATAAAATATAAAATAATGCTAATTTAAATGATTCAAAAGTTTACTTGCATTTGATAAGAAGCTGCGTGGACGAAAAATTACATGTAAACAATTTTAAGGCTATTTTGGCTATGCTCATCGCTGGTCTGGTTACTGGTAGGCTATAGGGGCTATAGCCAAGCCGTTAAAATTAGACCACACATTGCCTCGATTTCGCCAGGTGGGCTAAAGGCAGACTACATGTAGCCCATCCAATTTAGAGCGAAATCATGGCTACATATAGACCATGTCATGAAATGACACTTATATCTTTCTAGATATTATTGACACTGCGAACATGATGGGATATCAACCATCTCATGCGCTGCCTGGCCAAAAACTACAGTGAATCAGGTTAGACTATAAGCGGGCTACAGATAGACGCTCGGACTACGAGCTAAATCGTGGCTATGCACAGGCTACGTATTGAACATGTCAAAGAAATGAAACCAAACCCCCTGTAAATGCTGTTGACTTTGCTTACATGATGGAATATCATACATCTCACAAGTTATTTTGCCAAAAAACGACATGAAACCAAATTCAAGGTTATTTGGGCTAGAAGTGGGTTACACATAGCCGGACTGTATCGTGTCTATACTTAACCGAGACGTTGAAATGACGGCTATTGCTTGCTGGGTACTCTCTAAAGCGCTGTTTCATTATGCTTTCAGTTTCGATTGATGTTTCTCATATGCAACAGAAATTGCAGCGCTTATGAGTTGACCAACGCAGTGGTCGCGCCAGTGCGACCGCACACACAATTTTGTCGCACAGGCAGAAAAAATGGTCGCAGTCTGGAGCCCTGCTATATCATCTGAAGCCATTCCATATCTTAATGTGAGGGACAGAATTTAGGTTTACAGAACCTCATCTTCCTTCTGCTGCAGCTGTCAGTCATTCTCCGATCAGTATTCAAACAGCACGTCACGTTCAGTTATGACAGTCAGCATAAAACTCTCTCTCCAAGATGATATATTCCCATTATAATACTTTTAAGTTTAAGGAAGGAAGGAATTATCACAAACAGAAAGGTTATTAGAAGGCTTTCTTTTTCTCATGATTTCTCTTATATTCATGAATGTATTTTGTAAAAATACAAATAGTTAACAAAATAAACATGTTTGAATTGTATAATTTGCACAAAAATATATTTTTTCAAGATATAGTTTTTTCTGCTAAATTATAAAGTCAGCTAGTTTAATTTCATAGCTTATATATTTTTATTCAAATGTAGTTTTTCTCTGTAATGAGGAAGTGAGTATTTAGTGGATTGCGTTTAACAAAGGGTTTAAAAGAGTGAGTTCCACCAACACAGTATTGATATTCTGTAGTGGTGTAGAAAAAAAGTAGCGCTGGTGTTGGATCGGTATTGGCCAATTCTTAGAATTTGGAATACTCTATGTAATCTTACACTGCAAAAACTTAAAAAGATTAAAAGATAACATCATAATTATTTACTGAACCCTTAAATTAATCAATTATATAATGAAAGCCATAAAAACAGACAATTAATTGTGATAATCGGCATAATCGCCAAAGCCCTAAAACAGGCAATTAATCGCAATAACCGTGACTATTTTTAGACAATTAAACGTCAGCCAAATTTCATAATCGTGACAGCCCTATTAACGACACCGTTGTTTACAATACAACCGGAGCACATGCCGCTGAGGAGAGGGGCAGGACATTTGGGCGCGCACTAGAGGCGGTTTAGCCCATCACAACACACTGGGCTAGCTAACCAATCAGAGCCCATCGCCTATTTCTGAGGGAGGGGCTTCATAAAAGAAGGAAATTATCAGCACTTTTCTCAGATAAGGGACCGAGTGGTGTGGAATAAAGGTTAAATATGTGAAAAATAATGCGTTTTTAAAAAAACGAAGCATTAAAGGGGTCATATGATGCAATTTAAATTTTTCCTTTCTCTTTGAAGTGTTACAAGCTCTTGGTGCATAAAGAAGATCTGTAAAGTTGCAAAGACTAAAGTCTCAAATCCAAAGAGATATTCTTTATAAAAGTTAAGAGTTAGCCGCACCCCCCTAAAACGGCTCATTCTAACACGCACCCACATGTCTACGTCATGATGTGGAAAGATTTGCATAACGCCGCCAAAATGTTCACACAAAGAAAGGAGGTGTAACTTTTATTCTCGCTGTAGTATTGTTGCTGCCGCCATGCCGTGAAGAGCTGTGTGTTTCGTTGTGAAAGCGAAACTACTTTGTTTGGCCTTCCAAAAGAGGACGATATCCGCTTCGTCATGCCTAGAGCTGATCTGTGCTGGTCGCTGAGGAAATACATCAAATTCGCGCTGTGGATCGGCTTTCACCGTGGACGAAGCGGAGTCCAGCCCGGGGTCGTCACATGTGGTTGCCGCAAGCCCACCGGCCACTCCTTCGTCGAATCTGCTGGCCGTTCCTCACTCTAGCCGCCCGCCTCCGCTCACTCAAGGCTGCCGTGTGTGACGCTATGTTTAGTTGTGAAAGCGAAACTACTTTGTTTGGCCTAACAAAAGAGGACATGACTAGAAATCAGTGGTTAAGTTGTATTTACAACACTGTTCCAGAACAGTTCAACCCAAATATTAATTTGTGTGCAGCACATTTTATGGAGGACTGTTTTCTGATCCTGGTAGAGTAGACTACAATGCCGGCTGTTCTGACTCACAGAATGTAAGTAAGTTTTAATTTCTGATGATTCAAACACGAGTTTTGAGCAGTGTAGTGTAGCGCTTGTTTGTCATTTCTCCGATCACAAATGCAGACATGGTTTTATGTTTACACGGCGCGATGCAACGCGTAAAAAGATAGTATAAGTCATTATAATCAGTAATTATGTCCCCACTGGATGCAACAAATGCCTCGTTTGTAATGGGTTTTCATGTTTTTGTCTCGTCGCTCCGGCCGGACAGAGCATCATCACAATATGGTAAGGGGCGTAACATTTCCGTCACACGCTTGAGGTATTCGGCCAATCACAACGCACTGGATAGCTGGCCAATCAGAGCACACCTCGCTTTTCAGACCGAAGAGCTTTGTAAAAATCGATGCGTTTCAGAAAGGCGGGGCATAGAGGAGAAACAATAATGTACAGTATGTGGAAAATAATGTGTTTTTTTTTACTTTAAACCACATAAACACATTTCATTACACCAAATACACAAAATAATGTTCTTTTTAGCAGCATCATATGACCCCTTTAACACATGTTAGACTGCACCCCATAAACACAATCAAGCCTAGAAAAAAAACAGTGAACCACCCCTTTAATCCATGCTTCTTGCATTGTCAGTTGAAAATTTCCTTCCTGTTATTTTTAACTAATAGCATGATGCCAATGAGTGGGATGATGCCACCTACCCATGGAATGCCCCCAATGATGCCAGGCATGCCACCAGGTACAGGAACCTTTCAGTTTATCTCATTATGTATATGAGACAAATGTTTATTTTTTTTAAAGAGCAGGTCAGATGGGTTTTCGAAAAATATCTCTTTTGCAGTTTGTAAGGTAGCTATCCTTCAATGTAAACACTCTGCAAAGTTGTTAATCAAAAAAGTGCATGATAAATAAATTTATTGTCTCTCAAAAGAAAGGGTCGACTCAGAATCGCCTTAACGAGTCGTTATATTTTCAATTCTTTTGCCTGTTACCGATCTACGTCACTGGGTAACACATTAGCATAATCCGTGCCTGCCCACGAAATATGAGCACTCTCTTTGTGGAGAAGATGCTGTGTTCCACGATATCACAGCAATACAATTCAAACCTTTTGTTGTGCTCGTCATTTTACCGAGGACTGCTTCTCTAATCTTGCCTTTTATCTTTGTTGGCTTCTAATCTTCTTTATTTTGACCAACTAGTGTCTCGCAACCACAACCTGTAAGTACGATTGATACGTTATGTGTACATTTTCAATTGAGTGCTAATATGTGATGTATACCTAGTGCAGCTTTAGGTTTCCAGGTAAAGCACGATATTACTGTTTTACTGAAATAGTTCTGATAATTCGCTGTGAACCCACTATTTCCTAAGAATGTGTCGATTAATGTATACTGTCATTTTTCTAATTACTTCGTTTAATGATAAAGAATATAGTGTAGCACACAGACTTTATAAGCATTGTGAAAGTGCTGTTTATGTGGTTATAGGGTTAATGCAGGGAGTAAAAGACCCGGTAGAGAGAGACGAGTTAGTTAGGCTGGTGCGCATGTGATACAGCTGCTCTGCGTTATAATTAAAGGTTAAGACATGGAGCATCTTTTGTCTCGGCTAACGTATACACCATTATTGTTTTAAGTGTTTACAATTTAGCAGCTAAACTTTAGCTGTGGGCACGATTCACTTGCATAAGTGTTAAACAAAATGTTTTATGTCATTATTTTAAGAACTGATTGGAGTACTATATTATTGTTTTATGTAAAGGTGCATGCTAGGGTTGTCACAACAAAACCCGCCCAATTGCTACTCAAAACTAGCCCAATGGTGTTTCGAGGGTGGTCCCCCTTTAAAAATCGCGTTCTGGGGTGTAAAATACACGCTTTCAGTCGGGGCTAAATACTAAAGCCTAAATATGACGTTATTGGGGTCGCTACAACCCGCGACATCAGAAACAACCGTGGACTTGTCAACACAGATGGTAGCGCTCGCTAACTTGCTCAAGCGCTCCTCTTTTTACCAATCACAACAGGCTTGGCCAGCTGACCAGTCAGAGCAGAGTAGGCTTATGGAAGGGAGGGGTTTACAGACATTTCGCTCCGAACAGAATCGAACGAACCATTTCGAAATCATGGACAAATGAGTCTATGTATAAATGTATATTCTGAGAAAATTACAGTGTTTTCTGACCTTAGATGCATTTAAACCTGTTGTAGGGGACTCCAACACAATATTAGGACGCTTTAAAAAACCATATGACCTGCTCTTTAAATGTTTATTTATTTATTTATTTTCCTTTTATATTGGTTCTAATTAATTCATCATTCTGCTCAGGATTACCTCCTCACATGGGTCATCACCCTGGCATACTCCACATGGCTCAGGCCCCTCCTACTACCACCCGGCCAGCTGTGTCTGCCACCACAGTGTCCACGCCACAGCCGAGTGTCTCCAAGCCACTGTTTCCCAGTGCAGGACAGGTATGATGCCCTTTCTCCCTACCATAGAAAAACTTGGTATAGAACATTTTTGCCACTAAGAAACTGCTAGTAAGTTTCACAAATAACAAAGAAATGGCAAGTAACACATTGAATTTTCTGTGAAATTTTGAAGTTGAAAGAATTGTCTTGTAAAATATTACTTTTGTTTCAAAAAATCAGTTTGAAAGTCATCTGAATAAATTTAAATGGTTTATATTTCTCTTTCAGGGACTGATTAGACTCTGGCCATACAGTATTTTTTCTTTGGTTATGAGTTTTTTTCACCATCAATTATTTGCTTAGGAAGAGAGAGCAGGGAAGTGCAGTACAGTGAAGAACTAAAATAATCTGAAAAACAGGAAAAAACTAATGTAAATGCTTGAATACGACTGTCTCCTCAAACAGATTCAAAATACCTGAATGCATAAGTTCCGTTGTTTGTATGTTTACCAGAGCTCTTTTATAATAATTCTTGTTATGAACATGCATGTTTATTTATGTCTTATGAACTGGTCAGTGGGGGAGAATATTTACAAAATATTTGCTAAAATAAAGCTCTTCTGACATATTTGTCAGCTTCCGTTTTAAGTATGTCATTAAGACAAAAACAAGTTATACTCTCAGTAGCTCTGGGGGTATTCCAGAAAGCAGGTTATGTGACTTACCCGGGTACGTTTAAGGGTAAGTAAGAGGATAAACTTGGCTTTCAGTTCCAAAAATGGAGGTAACTTTCAGGGTATGTAAGTAGCCATAGCAACTTACTCTCTGACCACAAGCTGCTCCGGAGCAGATTCTGTTTCAGGCTTAGTTTACTTCAGCACTATTAGCATATGCGTTGACCTATTGATGAGACTCCAGTAGGCCTGGCAGATTGAGCACAATATTAAATATTAGTACAATATAGTTATATAATATACAGTAATATTTATTGTTAAACAATTTGAACTAATTTCCTGACAGGACCAGCAGTTAAAAAAAAAAAAACTCTTGTTGTTAAACCCTATGAGACCAAGTTATGAAAACTGATTTGTGGGCTGTATTAATGCATAAACTTTTAATGCTTGAGGATCCATAAAAAAAAAAAAAGAGATGGTCGTTTTAAACAAACTGAGGTTCAGTGTTAAGTGTGTTGATGATAGTTTTGGTGAGCAACAGTCATGTCCGGAATCAAACAGCTGAGGGTCTTTATTGTGTGCTCTCTCTCCATCCTGCAGATGGGGACTCGAGCTCCAAGCACAAGCTCAGGCTCCTCCAGTCTGGACAATTTGTCAGCATCCTCTAAACCGCTGTCCCAAGTATGCAGTAGCTTGCTGACTCTGTGAAAGAGCTGCTTCATAAAACTATTGATGGCATGTAACAGCAGATAGACCTCAGACTGCCTCTTAGAATAATTGACTTTGCTCTAGGGGACGTCTGTAGTGCTTCAGAAGAGTTGAAAGAGATTGATCTCAGTTGAGACCGAGAATTGATAAATGGCTTAATTCTCTCTTTTAAACTCAGACTGTTTCTTTCTCCTCTGGTTTTTAATTGTGTAAAATCCACCTTCATAGTCACATTTTAACTGTATGTAGGCCCCAAAAAGTATTTAGGCTTGTTAGGCTTTAAGTGGATCATGATCAAGTATCCAGTTTTGTTAGGGATGCACTGATATTAAAATTCAGTCTAATACTGATCAGACTGAATGCTATGGCTGATATTAATTCTAATCTGTTTTTTTAAATAAAAAATAAGCTAATAACTGAAATCAATAGTTTTTAATGCTACAAGTGAATTTACATCACACCTTTAGAATAAACTGTATGAAATGTACAGTGTTATGAAATTATTAGTGTTTTTAAATATTGACTTTGAATATTGGACAGCTTTGGTAATAATGAGTATGTACAATTCAGCCAGTAACTGAGTTATGCTACTTATATCGTGCATCTCAAAATTTTGCCTGAAAAGTGTGCTTGTTCTTTATTTCTAGATAAAGTAAATAACAAAACCTCAAATCAAGTGTTATGTTGGGCAAAATGCACCTAAATGCAGAATTAGTTGAATCACTGAATCTATCTGATTTGCTCCTTGGTCTCTTTCTGCAGGTCCAGCAGGCTGGTTCTAGTCTAGCGGTGAGCTCCTCTGCACCACCTTCTGCTGCTCCCAAACCAACATTCCCAGCTTACACCCAGTCCTCCGCCACTGCTGCGGCCAACACGAGCAGCACTGTGGCCAAACCGGGCACCCCAGTCACAAGTAAGCCTGCCACCCTCACCACCACCAGTGCAACCAGTAAGTTGATCCACCCTGATGAAGATATATCACTGGTAAGTGAACTTGTTTCTGTGCTTTGATCTTTAACCTTTGCAGAAATAACTGGTCAGCTTTGGAATGGTGCATGCTTTCATTCGATAAAACACCTGTTTGATTATTCCAGACTGTCTTGTTCCAAACCTGAGACTTTTCTTCTGCGGAACATAGATTTGAAATAATGCTTTTGTCCATACATTGAAAGTCAATGCCACCAGAACAACACTAGACCACACTGACTTACTTTCTTCACAAAATCTTTTGCATTCCACAAAAGAAAGCAAGCAAAAAAGCCCATATTTATGTCTTACCAGTTTGTGCATTTTGTGTTTGACAGGAGGAGTTGCGAGCACAGCTGTCTCGCTACCAGTGTAAAATCCCTAGTGCAGGACAGGCCCACGTAACTTCCCCACCAGTTGCACCAATGGGAGGTGTGTTGCCCCCTCAGCAGGGCATTCCTGTACAACAGCCGGGTGTTAGGCATCCCATGCAAGGTATTTCAAAATAAGAGAGGAAATGTCTTGTTACATTACTGTTTATAAGTTTGGGGGCGGTGAGATATTTAACACTTTTATTCAGCAAGGATGCAATTAAATTGATCAAAAGTGAGAGTAAATGCACTGAGAATGTTAAAAAGGATTTTTATTTCCAATAAATGCTGTTCTTTTTAACTTTATATTTGTCACAAAATCCTGAAAAAAGTCCTGTTTCTTGAGCAGCAAATCAAGATATTAGAATGATTTCTGAAGGATCATGTGACACTGAAAACTGGAGTAATGATGCTGAAAATTCAGCTTTGCCATCACAGGAATAAATTGCATTTTAAAGTATATTGAAATAGAAAACAGATATTTTAAATTTGAATAATATGTCACAATATTATTGTTTTTACTGTATTTTTGATCAACTAAATGCAGCTTTAATGAGCATAAGAGACTTCTAAATAATTAAACAGTCTGACCAACCAACCAGCTTTTGAATGGTAGTGTATATTAGTGAAGAATAACAGCGTAAGATAAAACCAGATTTAAAAGAAAATTGAATCACTGTTTCAAATGCAACAAATCTATTTCCTCTCATGTAGGGCCATACGGTGCTCCGCCGCATGGAGTGCCTGGGTACATCCCAGGAGGAATGCCTCCTTACGGTCAAGCCCCACCCATGGTCCCCCCCTTCCAGGCCGCTCCCCCTCGGCCCGCCATTGGCATGAGACCCCCTGTAATGTCTCCTGGAGGCCGATATTGAAGCGTCACTACTGGTCTTCATTAGGTTTGGTGATTCAACCATTTTACCATCTAGTGGCGTGCTTTACAATCCAGATCAGTAACCGTAACCCTTCTTGCAATGAGGAGATGGAGTAATCAAACTATAGCGCATGGGACATTTAATTTTGTCAAGTCTATTATTTGGACCTACCCTTTGTTGCAGATCATACAGTCTGGCTTTTTTCTCATGTTTTGTTTAGGTTTTTAGAAGTGAAGTGTAGTAAATATGGTTCGTATTAATTTGAAGCGGCTGGAGTTTCGTACAGCACCTTTATCAAGGCAAGTCACTGTAAATATACTACTGTACTAAAAGTGTGAAGCCTTCGCAGCACCCATAGGTGCTGTTGGGCGTCCTGTCCCCAGCGTTGCTTGGTGAGGGCTTCAGATAGCTGTCACTGTTGGATTTATTTTTCTATGTCTGCTTGTCTACAATTACAGTGTTCTCTCTGTAGGGCCAATAACAAAAGGACTCCTGTGAATGCTATCTGTACTGTTCCACTATGAATTGTAATAAACTATTGAAATCTAACGGCTGTTTTTTCATTAGCAAGTAAAGGACAACCTCACAAGGTTTGTACTACAAATGATCCACACGATGGCTGTTATTTGTATGAAAGCTGTGTTTGCAGTGTGCTGGAAGGTGTTTGTGGGTGAGAGGAAAACTGAAGCATTTGCATCCATGTTCCTTTCATATTAAAGTTTGGATTTAAAGGGGTCAAATAATGAGGACTCAAGTTTTCCTTGATCTTTTAAGGTAAACGAGTTTTGTACCATGTCAACTTAATGTAACTGTTACAATTCAAATCATCCTCCTCAGTCCAAAAAGACCGCCACGATAACATCTCATAACTTCTGACATCAGTGAACAACAGACAAACTAACAATAGAAAACTGGCTGAAGGTCCCCGATTATTTTAGTCTGATCCTAATAGTTTGTGCTGCAACGGAAAGGGACAAGGCGATAAATGGAAAAAACTAATTACGACTATTTTCGATGGGAAAAAATAATGTAGTGAACATCGGAAGTAAATGTATGATGACCCCTTTAAATGTTCAGCTTCTTATGCAAGGACATATGGCTGCTAGATAAAAAGAAAACAACCATTCAGATAGCAGTCTTCTTGAAAATCACAGTCTTCTGAGAGTGATTGAAATAACGCTTGTGAACCTGAGAATCATTTATGTACAGGCTACAGCTCATTACTTGTGATTTTCAGGAAGAGGCAGGTAAGAAGGTGACTGTAGTTCACTGTGGTTGTTGTCCTAAACTGAGGATTTCTCTTCTCCTTGTAGCTATGCCATGGGACTGGCTGAGGCAGAGTCTCAGTGTTGCCCTGCACAGGCTGAGGCAAGTCTCATATTTTCTCTCTTTACTCTGTGTATTCAGGGTAGAGGTCTTCACGGGTCCACTTGGATCCGGAAAACCCGAGCGGGTTCGGGTCCAAAACTCAAAGTACCTCGGACACGGGTCGGGTTCGGTATTAGCGGTCTCGGGGAATTTAAAATAAACATGCTTTTTCCAGATGGACCCGATTAGACCCCAATTCTTCTATCCATTCTATCCCGAATGCGTAGGCTACTTTCACTTTCGTGTTAAGTGAGGAACGCACAAAAAAGGAGCATACGTTTGTAACCTCACACACAGAAATCATCTTATAGATATGAGATCCATCAGGAAAATCCACTCGCTTCATTATGCTGCGTGTTCATACAGGGCTTTTCTTTTTTGTGTGCAGAAGCTTTCGCCAGAGATCAGGTTGCAGACAACACTAGCTATCCATGAATTATTAGGCTATCGACTTATTTGTTTTATCAAACTATCACGTTTATTTTTCAAATCCACTGGTCACAATTGAAAGCCGAGCTCAGAAATAACTTGTATCATGCAGGCACTAATATAAAGTAGCCTAATAATAAATTGAATAAATGTTAAATAAATCAAAGTAATGGAGAAGCGGCCAAAGCAGTGAGCAGGACACCGGGATTTTTCCTGATTGACTGCGGTGGAGCTGCAGGCTGTACACACGTCAATACCGTTTGCATTGGGGTCCAGTCGGGTTCGAAATTAAATGCCGTCAGACTTGGGTCGGGTTTTTCTTAAAAAAAAATTTGATTTATGCACGTCGGGTTTGGGTAAGAAGTGATTCGGTTTGGGTACAGATTTTAGGACCCGAGAAGACCTCTAATTCAGGGGGCCTCAGCCATTTGGAGCAAGTTTGGTGATGGCCCCCGGGTTTATTAATATCTCTTAACTAACTCATAGTTTTAGCTAACATGTTAAAAATACACACACGCTTCAAAAGTTTGAGGTCAGTAAGATTTGTAATGTTTATTCAGCAAAGATGCATTAAATTGATTAAAATTGACAGTAAATACAATTATGTTCCAAGATTTCTTTTTCAAATTATTATTTTTTTACTTTCTGTTCAAGGAATTCTGGGAAAAAAGCGACACTTTTCACAAAATTAAGTAGGACAACTCTTTTCAATATTCGTAATAATAAATGTTTCTTCAGCAGCAAATCGGCATATTAGAATGATTTCTGAAAGATCATGCGACACTGAAGACTGGAGTAATGATGCTGAACATTCAGCTTTGACAACACTGGGATCAATTAAATTTGAACCTGTATTCAAATAGAAAAGTTACTTTAAATTGCAATAATATTTCACAATATTGCTGTTTTTACTGTATTTTGATTAACTAAATACAGCCTCGGTGAGTATGAGACTTCTTGCAAAAACATTTAAAAAAAATCTTACCAGCCTCAATCTTTTGAACGGGAGTGTATATTAAAGTAATATGTTGTTGTTTTCAACCACATCTGTGGCAGACTATGATTCTGACTCATCTCTCAGTTTGTAAGAAACAAATGGGAAATGGATATGCATTAATTACAATGAAAGTTTAGCAGTTATTCAAACTAAGCCTTTAGAAAAAGCAACTTGCTCATAAACATGACACATTACACTGAAAAAAAATGTTTCATCCAATTAAAAAAAATTAGGGTAATGACTCACATCTATATTTTTTTACTTGAGCCAATGAAAAATAAATAACTTGCCCTTAATTGGATGAATGAAACATTTTTTCAGTGTAGCATTACATTTGGTGTGCTAATCAAAAGTATGTGTGCAGTTACATGGAGTGGATGTCTTTAAACTCCACCACAAGAATTATGTTCATAAAACACAAGAAGCTCTTCCGCCTTACAAACTGAAAGATGAGGTTAAATTATTCAGCGTGCCTCAGATTCATTCCTTGAGCATTGTCGAAAATCCAGAATATTCATTTAAATCTGTGGTAAGATATTTATGTATATATAGTGTGTGCTTTTGATACATCATAGAAGTTTCATAATACGAAATAATGCAGTTGAGCAGTAGCACTGAGGAGTAATGTGTGATTTGTTAAACAAGCTCTTCCATTGGTATTGGAAAAGGTTGGCATGTTTCTTGGCACTAATGGTGTGTTTAATGGATTTCTGTCCACAGTTTGGCTTTGATATCAATCAACTAGGTTTCATTTAATATATGAATCAGGTGGTTTTGTGTTTTGTAAAGTACTGTCTGTGAGTAGTTTGTGCTTGTTTCTTTTATCTGCCCAGTTGCTATATTCATTTACTCTTGATTTTTTTTTATGGAAATCCAAGACCCCCTTTAGAGGTTAGACTGAGTAGGTATAATTACTCTGGGTTTGTAATCTCTGTTTACCTGCTGTTGATGGATTTGGTTAAATACAAGAGTCATTGCTTTCCTGTTCACTTTCAAATAGTTCTTTGTCTGAGTCGACTGGTAAGTTTACAACTTGTATGTGAATCAGTAGTCCTTGTTCTCTAAATCATTACTCCTCTTCCTTTTTACAGGGAAAACGTTGTGTTTTGTTTCAGAGTTTGAAATTGCCTATGATCTCTATTGTTTTTGTTTTTGTCTTTCTTTGCAGTAGAGTGCAGCACTGAGTTTCCTTTTCCTTTTGTCCTGTTTAAAAATAATAAAAGCTGAGATAAAACCAATGACGTGTATTCTTTGTATATTTGGTCATATATGTATATATATATATATATGTATATATATGTATGTATATATATATATATATTAGTACAAAGAAAAAAGAAATGAAAGAAAAATAAGTTGCATAAGTGCTTTAAATGTCATGTAAACGTCGGCTGCAGATAAATTCAGAGAATGAAATCATTAGGGAAACTTCACTCACTAAGCATTAAAACACAAAAACAGACATATGTCTGCTGAACTTCCTGTGCATTGGGTGGAGCTCTCTGGAGATGAAAAGAGAGTGATAGTAGCGAGTGAGTGCAGCACAAGCAACGATTTGAGGACAGATGTGTAACTTGTCTTGGATATTTAAAGACGTTTAATAAGCGCACCATGAGAGCCTGCCTAGTTCTCTGGATTTTATGGGATCAGACTTTAGGTATGTCACTGAATAATGTTTTGTGTGTGTTTGTGCTGTAGCTCTTTCCAATAAAGTGCTTTCTGATAGAAGTTCAGTTCATTTTACTAGAAAAAAAAAGTCAGAACCTGAATAAGTCACAAATCATTGTCTCGGGTATCTTAATTTAATTTTGTTTTAACTGACCTCATTTATATATTTACTCTTAAGCTAGATTGTTATATATATATATATATATATATATATATATATATATATATAACAATGTATAAACGTCAAATTACCTTTATTTTTAGTGCTTTACACAATACAGATTGTCAAACAGAAAAATAGGAAAAACTTAAGCCTACTTTAATGTTACATATATTACACATTTTAAGTATTCTAATTTATTATTTGTGATATTTTAAGTTATTCTTAATGACACTGTTAACAAAAATATGCCTTTTTCAGTAACCGATGTATTTAATATGTATTGAGCAGGATTTAAAAATTTGTTTAAATTAGGCTATATAAGGCCAACAATGCACATAACCAGTTGAAAAATATTTCATGCGAGAATACATGATTTCTTTTCGTTTTTTAATTAATATTTTATCAAGACTTTTCGGCATCTGAAGATTTTCATTACATCCAAAGGCTTGAGGGTGAATCGGTGGACATAGATTGTGTTGCTCAAGCAAGTAAACCTCGCCCAGCGCTTCTGCACCTGAGACGAAGGTTTGCTCCTTCAGAAAGTGTGTTGAACATCTCTGAAGATAATGTCATGAGAGCAGATCCAGAGATTGAGGGACGAATCAGTATCTCCGGACAGCTGAAGTTACTCTGACTCTTTCTCATTTAAGAGCCACAGACTCGGGGCTTTATGTCTGCGATTTCTCAGGAAATCCATCAGATGCGCTCCCGGCGAACACAGCTCTCTTTCTGCTTGTAAAAGCGCCTGGTTGGTGGATACATTGATTTCAGACGCATATAGGTCTAAAAAAGCGTAAATGATCTTTAGGGATACAGTGGGGATACAGATAACAGTAAATTATCTTTAGGGATCCTATCGCGTACTATCTAATCGTTCTTGATTTTCAATTAAAAAATAAATCAATAAAAAAATTGAAAATGTGATATACTATATGGTGGCCGAGAGAGCTCAACGCGCTGCAAATGAAAAAAAAAAACATGCAAATAGAAAAAACACCTGCAAATTAAAAAAAATAAAAAATCTTCATCAATTTGACAACACACACGCTGCAAATGCTCACAACACAACCAAATAAAGAAATGCGCTGCAAATGCTCACAACACAACCAAATAAAGAAACACGCTGCAAATAGACACAGACCACATCGGAAATGTTTAAAGGAACACTCCTCTAATACTCCTCTAGAGTTAAACAGATGAGTTTTACTATTTTCGAATCCATTCAGCTGATCTCCGGGTCTGGAGGTAGCACTTTTAGCTGTAGCTTAGCATAGATCATTGAATCTGATTAGACCGTTAGCATCTCGCTCAAAAATGACCAAAGAGTTTCGATATTTTTCCTATTTAAAACTTGACTCCTCTGTAGTTACATCGTGTACTAAGACCGACGGAAAATGAAATGTTGCGATTTTCTAGGCCGATATGGCTAGGAACTATACTCTCATTCTGGTGTAATAATCAAGGAACTTTGCTGCCGTACCATGGGTGCAGCAGGCGCAATGATATTACGCAGCGCCTGAAAATAGTCCCCAGCTAGGTAACTTCCAATAAGCCTATTTTCAGGCGCTGCGTATTATCATTGCGCCTACTGCACCCATGGCTCGGAAGCAAAGTTCCTTGATTATTACACCAGAATGAGAGTATAGTTCCTAGCCATATCGGCCTAGAAAACTTTTCATTTTCCATCGGTTTTAGTACACGATGTAACTACAGAAGAGTCAAGCTTTAAATAGGAAAAATATTGAAACTCTTTGGTCATTTTTGAGCAAGATGCTAACGGTCTAATCAGATTCAATGATCTATGCTAAGCTACAGCTAAAAGTGCTACCCAGTGATGGGCAAACTTGGCCCTTCCAGGTCACTTTCCTGCAGAGATTTGATCCAACCCTGATAAAACTCACCTGCCTGTAGCTTTCTAGTAGTCTTGAAGACAATGATTAGCTGGTTCAGGTGTGTTTGATTAGAGTTGGAGCTAAACTCTGAAGGAAAGTGACCTGGAAGGGCCAAGTTTGCCCACCCCTGCTTTAAGGGAACTGCAAAGTGGCAAACATGGCTGGGACATGCTTATCAATGTCTACTCTGAAAGGTGAGATTTTTGTTTATTTGAATATCCTGATCATATTCATTAGCTCTTTTTTGTGGATATTATAAGCTGATGAAATACACAATTACTGTATCTGTGAAAGGTTATGTAAGCTGGCTAACTTTTACAACTTACCTTACAAAAATTAACCATAGCCTACTATTAAAATTAATTAGTTAATAAATACATTATATAAGAAAAATGAAAACAAAAGATGGTTACTGTAACCATGCACAAATTAACCATGTATTTACTACATTAACCAGTTTTAACCATGGTATTTGTGCAACTGGTTATACAAGTGGTAATCAATACACCAAAAAAAAAAAACCTGGTTAATTTTCGTTTTGTTGGGTAAATTTTGTTGTGGTCTGTGCTACTTGCATATTTCTGTATTTGGTTGTGTAGTGAGTATTTGCAGCGCGTTTCTGTTTTGCTTGTGTTGTGAGTATTTGCAGCGCGTCTCTTTATTTGTGTTGAGTATTTGCAGCGCGTTTTTGTATTTGGTTGTGTAGTGAGTATTTGCAGCGCGTTTTTGTATTTGGTTGTGTAGTGAGTATTTGCAGCGCGTTTTTGTATTTGGTTGTGTAGTGAGTATTTGCAGCGCGTTTTTGTATTTGGTTGTGTAGTGAGTATTTGCAGCGCGTTTTTGTA